AACTTGGTGCTCACCACGCTCAACTTGTTCTTCGCCGGCACGGAGACTGTCAGCTCCACCCTGCGCTACGGGTTCCTCTTCCTCATGAAGCACCCGGAAGTCGAAGGTAAAGGAAGGAAAAGGCTGGATCGTTTAGTGAGTGGGATGCGAGTTTCCATGAGCTACCCGGAGCTTTTGTGATCGGCTGCAGGGATGAAACCCAGATCCTTCTGCCCAGGCCCCTATCACTTGATAAGGAGAATCTCCATTAACTGCGGTGTAGGGGCTATGGCACATAGGCAGTTCATTCCCACCCTGCAGAGGGCAGTGGCGTTCAGACCCACTAATGTGCATCTAATGAGGCCCTTGGTGAGTTCTCTCTGCGTAGAACTCTCTCTCTCTAAAAACTGCCTCTGCTAAAGGACCGGCCGCTCGACGGGTTAGTGTGGGTCACACGCAAACTCGCACGCACACGTTCCAGCCCTTTGCAGTGGGATTCCAGTGACTGCTAGCGCCCGACCCATGGACATGGCCGATAAACCTGCAGGTCGGGGGCTCCGTCAGCCAGGGTTGGCTGCCGCTGCCCCAAATACACCCCCGTGACCCGCACCCTGTTAGCCCCACCGAAATCTGCAACCGCTGCCCTGGGCTGCCCCAGAAATCTCGCTGGTGGCAACTGGCGACCTCTCCCTCCCCTGTGCCCGGCTCTTTCTCTAACTATTAATTGCTTCAGTGGCCAGCACCAGTAGAAGTCCCCCGTGGCAGCAGGCCGTTCCGCAGGTCAGCCCCGTCGGGATTGGTGGGGCTTTAGTGCCGTGAGGCCCTGCCACTCTCCCGCATGGCCTGGGGGCTGTGATGCCCGCGCGGTTCCCGCAGAGCTCTGCCGGCCTCTCCACAGAAAAAGTGCACCAGGAAATCGATCACGTCATCGGCCGCAACCGCATCCCCGCCTGCGAGGACCGGATGAAGATGCCCTACACGGATGCGGTGATCCATGAGATCCAGAGGGTGACGGATATCGTGCCCATGGGGGTGCCGCACACCGTGATCCGGGACACCCAGTTCCGGGGGTATACCCTCCCCAAGGTGCGGGGCCGGGGGGCAAACGGACAGGGTTGAAATCGCGAAACCTCCCGGGTTTAGGGGTTGCTTTTGCAAAGGGAAAGGTGGTTTGGGGCTGAGCCCCGGTTGTCTGAACCGCCCCAGAACCGTAGGGACTAGAAAGTGACAGTGGGTGCAAACATCCGTCCCCCTTTCTGGCGACACAAACTTCCCCCAAGAACGGCGTCACAGCAATAAACGATCCGCCAAAACCGAGAATAAACAGCCCCACGGAGGAAGGGACCGACTGCCCCACCCTCAGCCGTGGGTCAAGATTTTACGGAACCCTCCAGTCTCGCCAAAGGAGGCGTGGGTATGTATCCCACTGCTAACACCACTGCGGCGATTACAGAGACTCAGGACACCAGGGTCGGGGGAATCCCAGACTGTCTTTATGTCCCGTTTACTCAGATAAAACGATATGCCCCGTTGTGATCCCCGGACTAGCGGCTCTCATGGGCACTCTCGGGATATCTCCTATGGGTGGGTGGAGGTTGAGGTTGGAAGAGATACAGGTGTATTTAATCCTTACCTCTCTCGTCTCCATTTCCCCAGGGCACCAACGTGTTCCCCTTACTGGGCTCTGTCCTACGGGACGCGAAATACTTCAGCCACCCAGAAGAATTCAACCCGGGGCATTTCCTGGACGAGAACGGCCGCTTTAAGAAGAACGACGCCTTCGTGCCGTTCTCCTCAGGTACAGAACCTGCCTCGTGGCCCTTAACGCTCGCCCGCTGCTCTCTGGAGCTGGTCGTCCCGGGGCTGGGCCGAGGAGCCGCCCCTCTCCCACTGACCAGCCCTAGCAAAGCTACGGTTCCACCATCGTCTGACCTAATAACACGGCCCATGAATAGCTGTGTGGGCCAGTCCATAATATTCAGGAGACCTAGGTTCTATTCCCGGTTCTTCAAGGTGTGAGGTCTACTGGTTAGACTCTGGGAGCCAGGACGGCTGGGTTATACCCCAGCTCTGGGAGGGGAGTGGGGGCTAGTGGTGAGAGCAGGGGGCTGGGAGCCAGGACTCCTGGGTTCTATCCCCAGCTCTGGGAGGGGA